GAGAACAGATTGTCTATTTACTGATTAGTGCAAGATCTCTGGTAGGTAGTTAACCACACTAGCAACGCTGGAGGGTCCAGGAATTGCCTACGGCTGGCAGCACGTCTATGAACGCCGGACTGCCCTCTCGGTTCTGATATAAATATGTCGTAACATGCAGATAGTTGGGCTCCACGGACGGCTGTGGCCGCTCTGCAATGGAGACGTTTGATGAGCGCCCTCAGTTGGAGCTGAATCCTATTCCAGATCAAAGTTTCACTGGCTTGTATCGGAATAAGCGCATTGTTAAAAATCCTATCCACGCGAAGTTGCCAGAGCATTGTGATAATGACGGTCACTGCGACTTCCCAAATCGTCCTCCAGGCTGTGGCGAATAGATCAATGTCTTCCGGGTACCGGGCTAACAGCTTTGCTGTGACCTGCGGCGAGATACGTGGTACGCTACAGTTTGCGCAGTGTTCGAGCCAATCCAGGAGGTGGGTAGGATGGTGAAGTGTACTCTCCCAATGACTGATAAGCCGGGCCCAGATTGCCTGAGCGCGGGGACATCCCCAAAAGAGATGCTCCTGGGTTTCCTTTTGGCCTACACATTCCAAATATGTGCATGATCCGTCCGGGGGTCGGTTTTGGTACCAAAAGTTTAGCTGTCCGGTAGCGTGTCGATATCGTGTCCATAACTGGTATTCCGTTTCCGCATGGCCGTGATCCCATAGCTGAGCCGGCGTGACATTTAAAGCTGTGCATTGCCACCGCGTATTCTGGCTCTTTGTGACTAGCCGATCGATGACCTGCTTCAGCGGTGCTGCGAGACCGCGCTTTGTCGCCTGAAAAGCTTGTTTTTTCAAAAAAGTGAATAGTCGATGGTTGGGGACCGTAGGCGGTGCGGACCACGGATAGTGGTGGATCTGTGGGTTGGAAAAAAAGACCACCCCATGTCGGCTGAGCTTGCTCTCCGCTTGTTGGGTGAGCTCCTGCGATTTCCCTTTTACTAGCGGCGGAGCGCCGTCGAAAACCCAAGTTATGCCATCGTGGCATTGAGTGAGCTCCCAACTCTGAGGGCGATCAGATTCATCAGAGAGTGAAACGCCTCGAACCTTGCCTGGCCCGATCAGCACCCATGAGATGGCTTGCGTGAATGGTAGCTGTTGCCTTAGCCGCAATGGGCTTGGGCACCCTACCGGATTTCCCACGTCTAGTGGCGGCGACAAAAGTAAAATTATGATCGCCCATTCTCGAAGTTTCGCATGTGAATGGCGGGGGTCATGGACATCCGTGCCAATGCCGCTGAAGACGTATTCTTGGGGGCCTGTCCGCTGGATGTGGAGTTGTTCGAGGGATACATCACGAATTCTGTTATATTTGGATCGGGACAGCTCGAGCGCCTGCGGTGAGAGAATCCAAGGATTACCACTCCACTGAAAAGTCTGCCAAAAATCGTTTATCACCTGAGGCCAAATCTCATCCCCTTGAGGCCGCCATGGAAGGGGCTCGGAGAGGTGCAAAATCCAGTCATTTTCCTCCCACCAACTGGTCGATGATGACCGAAGGTTCGGTAGATGTTCTTGTACTCGTGCTAGGATTACCGCCGTTTGCGCGATGTCTGGCCGTAATGTGCAGCCGAGTTCATGGATCACATCGGGATAACGCTCGAACGACGGCGATACGATGTGTTTTACGCTCGGTCGATGCGGGCTGATGCTCGTGTTACGTGCACCATGCGTGTTCCAGGACACCCACGCTGTGAGATACATATCCTCCGGCCGAGTAAGTGCCAGAAGCGCGTGTTTCACTCGCTGTGTTTTAATAGCAACTGGGACGGACACTAGGCCAATTCCTCCTGCCTTCCGGGGAGTGTAAAGTAGGCCTGGAGCGACTTTGTGTCTCCCAAGATCGATCTTGTTGGACGATTTCCAGAGAAATTGTTTATAGAGGTGATCCAATTGTTTTAGCGCCCAGCCGGGGGGCTCGAAAACTGCTGCTGTAAACAAAATCCCGGGGAGAACAATCGTGTTGAGTATTAGGACACGGTGCTCGAGAGTCGTCGATACTCGCGTTGCAGTGAGGAGGCGGCGCTGTGTATTTTTGATGCGGAGAGCCCAATTAATATTTCGCAACTTTCCTGTCCCCACTTGATATCCGAGTTATCTCGTAGTTGTTGACGGAGCAACCACTGCAATTCCTTGGTACGTGAGTTGATGGATAGCCGTATTTAAAAATATGATTTGGCTTTTAGTCGGTTGCACTTGCAACCCCGATAGCCGTCCAAACTCAGTAATAATTTCCATAGCCGGTCGTAGTAAACTTGCTTTTTGAAGAAATAATGTGGAGTCGTCGACAAACCCCGAAAAGATGTGACTGGGTGTATGTGCTCCCTGAAGTGTGAGCCCCTGAAGTTGTGGCGACGTTTGTATTGCAACTGCCAATACCTCTACTACCACCAGAAAAAGAAGGGGAGCGAGAGGACAGCCCTGCCGAATACCCGACCGAACTCCCCGAATTGAAGAAATCTCTCCATTGACTGAGAACCGTGCTGTCGTATTGGTATGGAGCCGTTGAATTAGCGCAAGAAATTTTTCTTCAAAGCCGAAGAGTCGAAGCGCCTCCACCATAAAGTCTCGGTCGACTGTATCGTAGGCCTTCCGAAAATCCAACAAGACAATGGCGCGGCTGGCGTCGGCGTTTAATGTACTCTCCTTACGTGCGCTTTGGAGATGAGCGAGCATCATGGATACCGTCTTTTGCATTTGTCGTCCGTGAACAAAGCCTTGTTGAGAAGCACCAATGACATGCGGCAAACACGAAAAACCATAAACGGTAAATAGACAGTCTGTTTCCGCACACAAAATATAGAAACTTCAACCGTGATGAACATTTGGTATGATGTTCCCTTTTATAAATTTATCGAATGCAACTTTTATAACAAAAAGCTGGGGCGAGAATCACGACAGAGAGAGACATCTTGTCAGTAAATCGGATACTCGGATACTGACTCACACTTCCCAATTCGCGCCTTCGAGCAACAACGGCCAAGAGACGAAGACCTCAATAGAACAGGTCAACCGGCCCCCTCAGACCAGAGCGGGAAGTCTTTTCAACGGGAGGCCCAGGATATAGAGGGGGGAGGTTTTCCCTCTGCTGCGTGCGCTATGGGGGGCAAGCGCAGCGTGCGAACCGTAAGAGGAGCACCAACCCTGTCACCCCCGGGGGAGAGGATCGACGACCGCGGTTATCATTCCCTTCTTCCCCGATAGTTCCTGCTATTTTACGTCAGCCTTCAAGCCGCCGATTCGATCGCCGAGCGCGAATCTCGGTCCCACGAAGTGAACTTGCCAAGAGCGTGAATTGATCGGCCCCGTCCAGGTGCATCAGCGGTCGATCGAGACTGATCGGTGTGGTGCCCGGCGCTTGTTGCGATCATTGAGCCACTGTTTACACCTCGGGCTGGATACCCGATTCCACGTGCCCTTTTCGGAGTGTTCCCCATGACGCCCGACGTCTCGAGCCAGCAGATTGAGCCAGCGAGGCGAAGAATGACGAAGTCCTGGTAGAAGCACTCCAGACATCTTACCAATTTTTAATGTTTGTAGACGGTCTGTTACTACTAAATACTGACTCACATAAAACTTGTAATGTGACAAACACCAATGCTAATGCCACTTGAAAGGATCTTAGTACTTCGCTCCTACCAAAATTTCTCTAGCTCGTCATATTGTGAAGCCTCGCAGTAGAGAACAATCTTACGCCAAGGTTGACAGCGGAGCTATTCTAGCATAGCATTGCTACCTGTTTGACTACAGGAGACGCGTGTAGTGGCCACGATCGCGGCGCTCAGCCCACGAACGAGCAGCCACCACATTCACCGCCACAATGCCCACACCGATGAACGCGTAGAAGAGGCCGTGCGAGGTAGTCGAAGTCGCGTCAGTCTGCTGCACGTTCGACAGCGACGTGGTCATCAGTTCCGTCACGTTGGACTGCTTAGCCGACACGAAGGCGTAGTCCGGATCGTCCGATAGCGCCGACTTTGATGTCTCGACGGTGTAGTATGCCGGGAGTTTAGCCGGGACAGCCACCGGCTCGTAGATCGCCACCTTGTTCACCGCTGCCGGGTACACGATGGTGTTGGCATCACGCCAGAACCACCAGCCCTTGATCTTGACGTCCGTTGGCGGCGCGTTCACGTAGCCCACCTTACCCCACACCGACGTAGACACCGTAAGCTTGTCAGTCACCTGTACAAGCACTTCTCCTTTACCCCAAACGTCGACATTCGAAGTGGCTGCCACAATCGATCCAGCAAGTAGCTGGCCAGAGCCAGACAGATTCAGAGATTCCTTGTCGACAGATCCCGCCGTAGCAATACTCGCAACGCCAGATCCGTAGACCGATGCCTCAAGCTTTTGGGCTGTCAGGTTTTGCGTGTCCATGACAACGTTACCCGAGCCAGAAAGCGTGGACTTAATCTCATCAGCCAACAGAGCGTCTGTAACCAACGCAACAGAACCACTGCCCGCGACTTCCACGTCTAGTATAGCATCGAGGTTTACTGAGGGAACCTCTAACTGTACCAGGCCATCACCCGTCACTTCAATCTCCAACGAGTTTAAGGTCGCGTTTGATCCAGACTTCAGGTACAAATTGCCATCGCCCACGCACGCGAACTTGATGTCCGCCTCGGCATCATCAAGTGTCACAACATCATCGTTCAGCACCACGTCACCCGAGAAGGCTGTGGTTACACGGCGTAGCAAATTCTTCTCAAACAAATAGATTTGCGTCATCACATATCCCTCAGCATTCGTCTTCTCGTTCTTCAGATGAACCTTAAGTCCGTCATTGCGACGCGGGTGCAGAGGCACAGCTTCAATCATGTTCAATAAATCCAACGAATCGCCTGTAATGACGATCTTGGCCACAATAGTCTCTTCACCTTGTGACTGTTCTTTATCCTCTTCTTCGTGGTGACGATGATGTTTGCGCAACATCATAGTCGAAATCTCGATTGCACCTGCTGCTACGGTATTATCATTTAATCTATTGCCCAACCCGGACAGCAATTCCTGTGAGACCGCACCCGGTACAACTCCGGGCTCAGAGCCTGGAATGACACCGGGGACAACACCCGGAGTCGTGCCTGCAACGACACCCGATATTTTAGTAGCAGGATCTTCCGAAGCAGGATCTTCTGGTGCAAGAGGAACCGTACCCGGTACAACTCCGGGCTCCGAGCCTGGAATGACACCGGGGACGACGCCCGGAGTCGTGCCTGCGACGACACCCGGTACTTTAGTAGCAGGATCTTCTAAAGCAGGATCTTTTGATGCAGGAGGAACCGTACCCGGTACAGCTCCGGGCTCCGAGCCCGGGATGACACCGGGGACAACACCCGGAGTCGTGCCTGCGACGACACCCGGTACTTTAGTAGCAGGATCTTCTAAAGCAGGATCTTTTGATGCAGGAGGAACCGTACCCGGTACAACTCCGGGCTCCGAGCCTGGAATGACACCGGGGACAACACCCGGAGTCGTGCCTGCGACGACACCCGGTACTTTAGTAGCAGGATCTTCTGAAGCAGGATCTTTTGATGCAGGAGGGACCGTACCCGGTACAACTCCGGGCTCCGAGCCCGGGATGACACCGGGGACAACACCCGGAGTCGTGCCTGGGACAACACCCGGTACTTTAGTAGCAGGATCTTCTGAAGCAGGATCTTTTGATGCAGGAGGGACCGTACCCGGTACAACTCCGGGCTCCGAGCCCGGGATGACACCGGGGACAACACCCGGAGTCGTGCCTGGGACGACACCCGGTACTTCAAGGGCTCCAGTAGCGGGATCTTCCGACGTAGAAGCCTCTGCCTTTGTCGGAGGCAACAATGACGGATCTAACTCTACGAAGACAGGGCCAGGGATCGCGAGGTACAGCTGCTGGAGCTGCGCAAAACTGGTGATGGTCCAAATACGCTGTAGAGATTGGTGTTTATCCACAATCTCCTCGGGTGAGGTCACATTCGACGCATTGAACGTCCATGCGTGGGTGACACCAAGGGCCATCGCCATTGCTGTGACACACGCCGAGAGCTTCATAATAACTGTCAAAACTTCTGGGGGTTTCGTAGCAAACTCCAAAGTGAAGGGGAAGATCCTGAGTTTTAGTCCACCTTAAATGCGACAAGCCAGTGCAATATATCTTGCAGCATTTAATTTACCTGTAAGAAGCATTTGACAGTAGTGCCATAAAACTTTCTAAGCTTATTGTATAAAATGATAGTCTCTGTTTTTAAGTCGGATAATACTTCATATTGATTTGCAGGATAGTGTCAGCTGGGAATCAGGTAAGCAAAAATTACTTGAAAGGTACATGTTCTTATTTATTTGTTTTGCTTTATAAGGAGGCGGTAGCTTTGTCATTAAATATTCTAGAAACGGGTGTCCAATGAGCTCGTTTTGACATTGGAAATCATTATATAGTCACATTAACGTATGATAAACTAAACTAGATTTTCTAAAATGGACCTGGAAGGATAAATGAAGGCCGACGTTCGAGAATACTCTGTCAGTGACGATCTGTTCCGTTTTTTGTTGTCCAAAGGCCAAAGTGTATATAATGCTCTATGGAGATTGCGCGTTACATCAGCGTCTAGCATTGCGAAGCGCTGACATGAACTTGAACTTAACGCAGCTTCACCAAAGCCCTTGCAGCATATGAAGCAGTAAGAAGCAAGGCGACAGTTACGGCCTTTGTTACAACCGGCGGAATTTAAAGAGGCTTTGTCGCGACGGCTTAAATTGCGGCGCGCCGATAAATCACAGCACTGTATAGCTTGTCGAGGCAGCGTCTTACGACAAATAAATGTAGTTTATTCTACCGTACTTCCGTACGTTTCTGACTGCCTCTCGAGCCAGAAGAGCACTGAATTCATATTTTTGATGGAAGCCGAGTAATATGTAGACATGATGATAGCCTACTAAAAAAGTAGGATTTTAACCATATCTGATAACAAAAGCTGTAAACATTTTTGCCATTTATAACGCATCGACGGGGCATTAGGGAGATGGGCGAAGTGGCACTGGTGGAAATCTTAGGCGGGCAAAACGGCAAACCACATACAGCCATGATTAGTGTCCAGTGCTACTGTACTCTTTTCCACCTTCTTAGTCTATAGCAGGCCAATTTGACGTTGTCGTCAGGAGGTAGTGCCCACAAGTACGCCACGCTACGTCGCCGCAGCGATGGTGTTACTTGCAAAGCGAAAATGACAGGGCATTTAGTTTTACGATCGAGACGTATTATTCGAACAGTTACAAAGTGAAATATTTCGTACCATTTCTGCAAGGGAAATGGTACGTCAGAGGGTTTCGGCTAAAGGGAAAGGGGAGAACGACTGCAGACGGTAGCAAGTCGCACATAAGGCAATATTCCATCGCCTACGCACTTCAGTTGTGAGCGATCTTTAGTGCCTAATACCTCCAAGTTTATACAATCTTTAGTCATTATGGTGGATACATCGACTGATAATCAGCCAGAGCCGGCGCCACCCACGGACTCGACAGCTTCGGACAACTTTGGCGACTTGTTAGCGCAACTTCTGCAATCTTTACCTACTGAAGCGTCGCGGCTTTTTCTTATGGCACTTAGCGGTCTCTCTCCAAGCGAGAGTGCTGAGCTCTGTCGTTACGTGGATCGTCTACGTGATGAGAAGCAGTTTCGTGTGATAAAAGCCATGGCCGAGTCTACCGTTGAGGGAAAGAAGAAATTTATATTGAATTTGCGCAAAAAGTTTCTTGTACAACAGGCTAAATTGGCTGAAGTACAGGCGCAGGAGGAGCAAATCATGGAATCTCATCTTATGCGCAAGCAGGCGCTTAATGGTGCGTCCCTGAAAGTGTAGTAGATAATTTACAAGTGCAATAACTAACATGTTTTTTCTTATTGTTACTGATCTATCCTAGCTGCCAGCCGGGTAAAGATGCTCAGTGGTGGTGCTAACAAATTTCACTCTTTCAATGCTGTAGTGGGTCCTGACGGGTACGTCTAGCCTTTTTGTGAAAATTTACGTTTATTTTTGGTCTTGACTTCTACGTCTTCTCGTATTTCTTGTTTTGATGCATTCACAGCAAACAAACTACTCATCACAAGCTGACGCCACAGAACTTGGCTGGAATGCCAAATGCAGAAGGTTTTGTTGTTGGCCGTAGCCTCTCTTCATCTTCCGTCGTGATTTCCAAAGAAGATATCTCACAAGTGGGGCGGCTTCTAAGCAACTCTCACATCGGTGACTCGGAAATGAACCTGCGCGAGCTGGAAATTAATAAGAAGGGGTTTATTCCGGGTGACTACACCGTCTCGACTCTAACACAGGACGACGATGTGTCAGCAGCTAAGCGCGATCGTTCGCAGAGCAGTCGGACGTTAGTAGAAGGGGAGCAAAAGCCCACACAGCGCACGCGCTCTGATACAGGGACGCCTATTGCATCTTATGGTGAAAATGCCGACAACTTTAATGATAATAATGGACTGGTGGAAGATCCGGAGGCTCCGACGACCAAGCGCTGGACCAAAGGGCAGGATACGGCCCTTCGGGAGAGTGTACGCATTCATGGTGAAAAGAACTGGAAAGCTATTGCTGAACTAGTGCCTGGTCGTAATCACGCCCAGTGTCTGCAGCGTTGGCGCAAGGTGCTGAAGCCAGGTCTTGTGAAGGGGCACTGGTCGTTTGAAGAGGATCAGGTGCTGGAGTATCTGGTGACACAGGGTTGCAACAACTGGGGCCAGATCGCTGAGCGTATCCCTGGACGTACACCAAAACAGTGCCGAGAACGGTGGAAAAATCACTTGGATCCGGCCATTAACAAGGGACCGTACACCGAAGAAGAAGATTCTGTGATTCTTACTGCTCAGGCAAGACTCGGCAATAAGTGGTCGCAAATTGCGCAGCTGTTAAAGGGTCGGACGGAAGACTCCGTGAAGATTCGATGGAAATCGCTGAAGCAGAACCCGAGCAAAGCTGCGGCTTCACATGCCCAGCACAAGAAGAACCAGCAGCAGGCACAGGCTGCCGCCGCTCAGCAAGCGGCGATGGGCTATAGCAACTCATCCTTAATGCGTCAGCGACAGCTGCAACTTTTGCAGCAGCAGCAGCATTTACAGGCGCACAACGCTGAAGCGGTGCAGCAGCTGGACCAGCAGCAGCAGATTCAGCAAATGCGTCTCCACGAGAAGCTCCTGCAGCAACAAATGCAGCAAGGCCAGCATGCCAGTCACGTCGCCATGTTAACGGAGGATCTGAAGGCGGAGCCATATCAACAAAATCGAGTTATGCTTATGAGCCACTCACCTGGTGGCGATCCGAATTTGTACGCCGCTGCTGCCTACGCCCAGCAACCGTATGCCCCACCGCAGCAATATGAGGGTCAGGATTACGCCACCAATAATGGCTACGACCCACGGTACTACGAACGACAGACGCCTACTGGAGCAGGTAGTCAAGGAGCGTCTCCTGCACATCAGACCGACCATCACCAGCAGAACAATGGTGAGGCCTGGCTCCAGCCTGCTGTATCCGGTTCAAACGGCGAGATCGATCAAGATGGGATGCCCCGAATAGAAGACAGTCAGCAACAGCAGCAAGCTCAACAGCCTCAGCAACCCAACTCAAATGGTGCGGGCATGTGGGATCCTTATTCGCGTCATGATGCGTCGCAGCTGAGTCCACTGAGTCTGCAGGTGAGTGAGTTTCTTTTTTAAGAAGGCCGCCTACCGTGCCGATAAACGTCTATTGCCGGGGGAGAAGCAATTGCGGAAGGCTTGCGCGGCCTGGCTTCGTCCTATGAGGATAAAATGAGCTTGAATTGGTTGCTGACTGCCTTCGACCGGTCGCGTGCTTTGCAGGCGTTATTGCAAGATTCTTCGCGAGGTGGATCATTGGACCCAAGCTTTTACCAGCCAGTGGAGCAACAGCAGCAGCCGCCCGTGACATACGAAATGAGCCCATCGAACTTTGGTGTCATACCGACCATGTCGTTTTCCCACACGCAATCATTGTAGCGTATAAAGTGAGGCCGACCGCAAAAACAATGTACTAACTAGGTAAGAAGTGTCATTAGTTTGCAAACGCTACGTAATTCGAATGAATTTTATACTACGGGGTATTTATTTGTAGAAGCGAAAAACAACTTGAATTCTTTTGCTACTTGATTCTTTGCTACTGAATATACCCCACTAACCTTTCATAAACGATATGTCAAACTACCGTATTTAGACAGGTTATTAACATTTCTCGCGCTAATATGCTTCAGTATGAATCAAGCACACCGAATTTTGCGAAGAAAACCAAGCACTCCCTCTTCATGGCAGACACACAGACACTGGACTTATTTGACGGCTTGCCGCTCGATTACAATTTTCTCGAAAGCAATGATGTGTCTGCAGACGGTGCGATGAATACTAACAACAGAGCGCCCGCTTGTGCCGGTGGATTAATGGGGCCCGACGAACAAATGCTTTTAGACAGTGACGTGCCTGGCTCTTCGCATACCTATACGATAACGCCCAAGGTCGAGGGTGAAGACCTACTGACGCCTCTCTCTTTCTCCTTTAACTCGAATGGGACGACATCTGTGGGTCCTAATTACCGCGTGGCACCGCAGCACAAACACAAACGAGTACGTTCCAACCCGGACGTTCTATTGGGCTTCGGTATAGCAAACATGGCTCCGAGTGTCATTACTCCACCTATAATGGGACCTAATGGTATGGGTTACCCTCAGCAGCACAGTGTGATGATGCCCATGTCATCATTTCAAGTAGAGCCGTCGATCAATCCCATTCCATTTCGAGGCACAGGAATACTACCACAAGGCGAGTCATTTCAGGAAATAGATGAATTTTTGCAGGACTTATCCTGGTCAGAGCTTACTACCGACCAACAACAGCAGAGACAACAACAACAAATGTTAATGGTGAATGCTGCGACTATGGCAGAAAGTGGTGTTCTTGACGAAGGGGCGTCACCTGTTTCCTACCGTTCGCATCGAATCCAAGAAGGAGTGAACGAGCTGAAAATGAAACGGAAACGTCCTGTCAATCATCACTCGAGACACCATTCAAACCCTGTGGACCTACTACACAATTTGGACCAATTCCGTATCTTAGCAGAGCAGAACAAGCAACAGCAACATGTGCAGCAGCAACAACAATTACAGCAGCAGCAACAATTACAACAGCAGAACATAAACTCGAATCAAGGGTACTCAAATCCGTTTGCCAGCTTTCAAGACCATACGGTGTTCCCGTCACCAGCGCAACCCAACGTGCAGCAGTTCCAGTTCCAGGTGCCGCCTCAGATCGCCAGTGGTGCTGTACATTCGCTGCATGGTCGTCGGTCATCTCTTGGCAGCAATTTGCCACCACGTGCAGCTGCTCGCAGGCCTGGTGGTCCCCACCACTCGTCAGGGTTGTCGATGGATATGGCCCAGATGAATCTAGGATTCCTCTCGGTTCCAGAGGAATTGAGTATGGCCGAGCTCAACCCGCATCAGTCGCCGCAGCTATGTCACGTGAACACCTCTACCTCTTCATCAGGCAGCAAGATGACTGCCGACGAAGCGAATCGAAAGTTGTACAAGTGTGGTCGCTGCGGGCAGCCCAAGGTGGGCCATATTTGCACGATGCCCGACCAGCGCAACAATTGGACGCAGGTGGACCTAGGAGTCACGAAGGGGCTCAAAGTCATGCGCATTAATTGCCACATTATGCCGGTGAAGAGCAAGTGGGTGGCGATGTGTGACGACCACGAGCCGGTGCAGGTCGAGTCGAAAAGCGACTTTAAGAGGGAGGAGGAAGTCGAAGCAGAGCCGCTGGGAATCTGAGCGCTCCCGTTGCGCACGTGTCAAATGCATGTTTTACTTGTATATACCACGAAAAAACTTCAGTAACGATAATATGGACAAATGTGGAGTTGCTTTATCCGGTGCAAGCTCCCAGTAGTTTCCAAGTACATTACGCGAGTGCATTTATTGAACCAATCCTGGCATTCTCTAACACGTGATTGTAGACGATCTCTGTGCTGCTACCATCCCATTGTAGTGTTGCAAAGTATAAATGCCTGTCAATTCTTATGTGTAATTGGTAGGCAAACCCAGGTGGACCGCTGGTGACCAACTGCAAATCGTTGAGATGCAAAGTAATGCTTCGAGTCTCACGAGCTCTACAAAACGACAACCGTCTGTCCTAAACTTGAATACAGTCAAGTCAGTTAGATCTATCGAGCATCAATATTGAATATCGACACAAGACTCATGGGGTGCATTGTAAATGCAGTTGGTCCTAAATACAACAGGAAAACAATTTACTAAAGTACAGCTTCTACCAATGTAATGAGATGATGATCATGTTGTGATATGTTCCAAAGCAGTTTCCATGCTGCTTATCCGCCTGTGAAGTCGTGCTTTGGAGTACTTTGTCGGCAGCTATTAACTTTCTGGTTCCGATATGTGATCTTGCACAGCTAGCGTTTTGCCGGTTCTTGGATGTTTGACTGCCTCCATTGTCCTGCACATATCCAATGACACCATGGGCACCAAGCTCCCGATCACACTTGTTAAAACTATCCATTCGCAAAATCTGATCTTTCAATTTTTCCGAAGTGTCCACCTTGTCGTCTCCGCTTTCAACCATGCCTCTCAGACGATCAAAGCGCGCATTCGCCGGCAACGATCGCGACAAACGTGGATGACAAGGTGGCGGCTCGCAGGTTAGCTGCAGCCGCATACATGAAAGCTCGAAAGATTAGTCAGAAAAGTGCAAAGTGTAAGGCAAGTCGTCAGTAGCCAGAAAGAGCTAAGCGAAGTAATATATATCTTTGAGTGTCAAGAGATATATCTATATATCGAGCATAGCTGGACGCTAGAGAGACTGCAATAAAGCGAGATTGCAACAGATCAGACTGTCTATTACATCCTTATGATTATATAAAATATGTCTGTGATATAAATCCCCTGATCTTTTGTCATGACTGCGTCGTTTTCCTATGCACTATCTCAATTTGCTGGCTCAACCTGACGGGCTAACGGAGACACTCCAAAAGAGCACGTGGGACCGTGACTAACTAGATCCGAGCACATGCAGGGGGAAAGTAGCGTCTTATAAGTAAGGCCGGATACCAAACAGCCTGGCCCATCTAGGACAAGACTGTATCCTACACATGCAGCTCCGGTTTTGGAATCGGAACGGACAAAATCACGTTCTAAGAGAGTTCGCTGTTGGTAAGACCGATAATCGTGCTCGGCGAACGGGTCGGCGAACTAAAGAGGCGGAACGGAAAAGGGCAGGAACTTGTTAATGCCTATTCGCTATTTTGTCAACGTGCCCCACACCTCAAAAACTTCGTGCCTATTGCTCCCCGTCAAATTCGCACGATGCACACTTCCCGTGACGCACGCGACGTAAAAAAGGCCTCTCCCCTTTAACCTTGACCCCTTATTTCCTGCCGAGGGCAAGAGAACCGATATACCGATGCTTTAGAGACCTATGTCGCCAAATGAAGAGATGCGATTGTCTAAAGTGGGACCCCACACCCCACACCCCTGGTGTTAAATGAGGTATTTCAGGTGTGGTTCGACATAGAACACGCTACCTTGTTTATATGGTGAACTTTGCCACAGCGTTTTGCGGTATACAGTAATCAGCGGTCATTATGCATCGAAGGCGAAGAAAACGGGCAAGTCTCTTTATAATGGCGACTTTAATCTCTTCCTTTTCTTCCTATCACGCTCATGAATGGACCACAAGTCGCAATTGTCTTACAACCTGCTCACTTAATGCACTACAGTGTCTTGTATCGCTCCAGGACGGCAAATGTTTGGCATTGTCTCAAACTGAGACTACAAATGAATGGCGTATCGTTTTAGAAGCTGCAAAGAGTTACACCTTTCGTTCTATGGAATGGTCATCTGAAATTCAGACACTTCAGCTACAGGGTGTCAAGACGCACGTGGAATTTTATCCCTCTAGTCTCTGGATGGGCAAACGGTTGGCTACGCTGGAATTTATTGGCCTGGACTTGTCTAACACGACGTTACCCAAACTCCCCAGCTCTCTCACACAGCTGCAGATTACGAATTGTGTGCTGTATAATTTACCTGTGACGTGGCTGCTCTCTCTGCCTCAGCTCGAGTCGATTGTGCTGATGGACAATTATTTGACGGATGCGACACAAACGCTGACAGAGCTCAGTAACCAGCAATTTACGTTGCTAAGCGGTCGAGTTGTGAGTAATATGGTAATAGGGCCAACGGTGGAGGAAGCACAGATTGCTGCGTGCACAGAGGAAAAAGGAGGCAGTGTGCAGAGGCTCGGTCAATGGCCAGTATGCGTCACTCCTGACGACGCAGTTATTGCTCGAAAGTTGCTGATTTTTACACATCTTAGATCCAGCGGAAGTTCTTTAGAGAACAGCAGCAGCTTTGGGTCTTCTTCACATGATCACGACACTTCGGCACTCGTGATGCTCAGTCTCGGCTTGCCCTTCATCTTTTGCTTGTATAAGATGGGGCTCTTCATTTATTTTATGCGGACAAACAAACGATATAGTAGTGAGGGTGGTGGTACTAGCAGAGTTGGGCGTGTCCACACATTAAAGAACGCGGCCACAGCCACGACACGTGATACCGACGCCGGTCGTCCTACCGTAAACGTCTTGAGTACTTCTCCACCACCTTCTCCTTCCCCATGCGGTTATCAGAAGCGGGATAAACAGCCATTTGAAAGCAGCAACGCTGAAGTCTGGGTGGACAAGGAGCTGCAGTCGTGGCAGCTGGACTTTCAGCGTCTAAAAATGCTGAAGTGTCTCAACTTGCTGCCAACTGAAAAGCGAACAACACTGCGTAAACAAAGCATCACGAGCGCCATGAACCCTCGCGAAATATGGCTAGCATCACTTGCAGATGAGTCCATGGCAGCAGCATCACCTGGAGAAGGCGCGCCTACAAAGTTGGTGGTAGCAAAATATTTGGCACCAAAGTTTGGCCAGGGACGACGCTCATCTGCAAGTGGCAATACAAAGGATAAATTAAAGCGCGAGTTGAAGCGTCAAGCCATATTTTCACATCCACAAGTGGTAACCTTTATCGGTGTAGCCTGGTCCCGTGAAACGCATCTGATCGCTGTCACCGAGTACATGGCTCAAGGGGATCTCCGACGGTGGCTTCATCGTACTGCCAGCACACATTCTGGCAAATGGTCGATTGTCAAAGTACAAATGCTGCTGGACGTCAGTAGGGCTTTACTTTACCTGCACACAATGCATACGCGTCTAGTGCACGGCAACTGCAACTCCCGGAATGTACTGTTGGACCAGTCACTCCGTGCAAAGTTAAGTGACTTTGGCGTGGATGGCTCTGATAGTCTTACGGAGCAGGAGCTCATGTCGTACAGTGCTGTAGGATCGGGACGATGGATCTCCCCTGAAGCACTTTTGGGATGCGAAACTAGCGCATCGTACCCGGACGCCAGTGACGTGTACTCGTTTGGAATCTTGATCGCCGAGTTGGACTCCCATGAGCTGCCTTTTTCGGACTTGATGCAGGCAAATCGGGCAGCTGTGCCGGAGACTAACATTCTGCAGCTAATTTCGATGGGTGCGTTATCGCCCACGCTGTCCCCAACGTGTCCACCGAGTATCGTGAAGCTGGTAGACGCGTGCACTAGCTACAAACCCAAGAACAGACCCAGCAGCTCTCAAGTACAGCAACACTTGCGGCGCATTTTAGAGGACTTTCGGGAGTTTGAGAGTAAGACGACGGCTACGATCTCGGTCGGGGCACAGCATTCACACCCGCCGTCGAACTTGGTATGATGTTGCTTTAGCTTATTTTAATCCCACTATTACAGGAATTCTTGGTATCAATAAAGAGAAGTTTGTCAGTGTATGTGCTTAGTAAGCAATGGTATACGAACTGAGTCACATGAAGATTTGTGAGCTGAACTCGTAGAAAGATCTTGCATCTCCTGTATCGTCCGACGCCTTGGAACGTATTGATTCCAGTGATAATTAGGAGAAACTTGATGGCCAAAGAAGTTGTTACTTACTTAAGTGTTAATGGTGCATTAGTAGAGACACGCTACGTTATATATCGCTCTGTTTTAATGATGACCAACCACAATCGTGAAGATTGCTTACGTCTTGCTGGCGATAGCACACACACATTGATGGTTATCACGGATGGACAGGGCGGATTGCCGAACTGTACCGTTTGAATCTCAAAGACAGGTAGAAGCGTCCTAGTCTGTGATGCATCAGTGAACCACTGCTGCGATGGCAGTGGGATAGTGAGTCTGAACGCAATCATAATTTGGATACGTCCGAGAGCAGAGCGGCCACACCATGCCGTTTCATATTGCCAATTGCGACAGCTAGTTTTTACCAAACGTACGCTAAATAAGATGAGGGTGGTGGTGACCTCATGGCAAGATCGTATTCAGCACAGAAGGCTATTGTGCTATCTCCCTCTGCAGAATGCTACGTCCGCCTTGACTTCAATGTGTACATGGATCGGTTGATAATGAGGTCTTTGCATTTATTGTGGGTAGTTGTCAGTCAAACGAAGTGCCAGGAAATTCATCCACTGCTAGCAAGCAAGTACATCGAAACGCTTGTCTCCGTGGGAGAACGTCGTCGCAAATCAATCATCGGCAATCGTAAGATAATTCGAACAACTAGAGCTCATGCAAATGAGCAGCAGTCGAAAGATAGAAATTGCACTGCAATCTGGACTGCAGGGCCGATAAAGTCTCGATAAAGTCATAGATAGCGCCATGGTTGTAAGCCTACTACGATACTGCCATCCGTGCGATGGGCGTCCGTTATAGTCGTCATCACGCCTTCTGTTAAACGCAGCGTTTCGCCTCGTTGAAGTCAAGGCGATAGTGAAAAAACCGTTAGGATACTTCTTCAGTCTCACATGCTTCGTCGAGATCAGATCGTTCTCTTGATAGCGAGTCCGTCGTAGCAAAACCGGTCTATTCTTCCAGTCATGCGCAACCCGCTAAATCTTCCTAGAATAACTTTCAGAAACGACGACGCCACAGTTGTAGCTCACTACCGAGATTGCTGTGTCGAGTCACATGCTCGTGAGCAACAATAACGAGGCGGCCCTCGCAGTGGCCAATCGCCCACCAGACACCAAAAAGCAGGGTCGGAATCATCGATCGCAGATGATACCGGTCGCTGTTGTAGATGAAGAAATGAAGACTAAGCAGCACGGACTCGTTGTAGGTCCGAAGCATCCGTTAGTGCACGAATTGACGGCAATGTTACGACTGAAGCGTCCCGCTGTCTCGTCGAATGAAGACGATAACGCTTCAGCTTACGAGTACGATGACCTGCCAATACTCGAGAGTAACCGCACATCGTGTTGCACGCCTCGAGATCCGGTCATTATCACCGCTTCAACGGTGGATGAGCCAATGGATCGGTTCAGTGATAGCGTGCCGGAAGGAGAGCTGCATGTCTGGGTGTACGAAGCTCGTGAGCTCTCGGCTCCATGGTCATTGACCGATACAATGTACAAGGAACACGGTCTTCGAGTCAGGTGTGGACTGTTAGGAGCTATGCAAGAATCGCCGTGCAATATTTCAGGGAACAAGAAGAATCCGGTGTGGCGTGACGCCGATAACAAGACTCGTGACGAATTGGGCGGATACTTTGCATGGGCGTTAGGTCAGCCGGAAGAAACGGCAGGCGACCGACTAAGCCGAGGAGTAGAGGCCAGTGAGTGCAAACTAGAGATTGATGTCATTTGTGGCGAACGCATTGTCGGTTTAGCGAGTGTGGCACTAGAAGACTTGCTGCTTTCGTCCAAGGATCGTGCATTCGAGGAAGATGCATTGGAAAGTAGAGGCTCGAAGGTTGTTCGTCTGAGTCCGCATTGGCTACCGCTTGTAGGCAACAATTCAGGCTCACTACAGATCTCGCTTGATTTCATCCCTGTCCCGAATCAAATGCTGCGCGGTTCTTCTAGAAGTGTCAGTCTTGTTAACTCTAGTCCGGAGGTGTCAGACGAACATGATGCGGACAATCAAGCCAACGATGGAGTTGCTGGGCAGTGGAAGTCTCGTTTTCCTCGCAACTTTGTGAAAGGCCGTCCAGCCGTCCCTTGGCTCGACCAATGTCATGATGCTTTCCAACTGGATACGGAAGACGAAGCTAGTTCTAGTAGTAACGTGATTGTATCGCGAAGTGGCGGTGTCACAATGTACATTCCGACACAAGTAGCAAGTACGCCACCAAAAGCCACGACTGTTGGAAGCCTACCATTAGCTTCAAAACCATCCATCTTGTCGTTTGGTCAATCTTCTACCGAAAAGTGTGACGAAGTAATGGATAAGCAGCTCTGGGACTTGTACTACTTTGGCATTGCAGACGAAGCCAGGAATAAACAAGACCCAGAAGATTTTACTTGTACAATGGCCATGACGTCGGATCATTCAGCTGGGGTTTTTAATGTGCCATCACGCCCAGAAGCCTCTAGCTATTGTCGTCAGGAAAGTACGTGTGTCAGTGATGTTTTGGCTTACAACGAGCTCATTCAAGATATGGAAAGTGCAATGAAGTCGATGGAAGACACGGCACCTTCTTCTAGAACCGATTCAAATCAAGGACACGCGGAGGATCAATCTAAAATGGAGACGACGGGAGTCAAAAGCCCGACATCAAAGCTTCATCTTAAGATGCGTCGGATTCACAAGCCGAATCTGAACTTCAGCAAGCCTCTCGACCGCATCCACTCATTATGGCACGATGCAAAGGCTCGTGCAAGCAACAGCTCCGACACAAGCAATGATAGTATCTCTTCTAAAGAGCGCAGTCCAGGGAGAACAAAGGATAGATGCTGGAGCAGCAGCAATACTAGTCCGTTGGCATTTCGTTCACGCAGTAAAACTCCTTCTCCATCAAGAAAAGAGGGCGTTGTCCTCGTCGATCCTCAAAATCTATTTGTGAGGTTTCCGTATCAGCGCTCGGCTTCGCGTGACGAAGCAACAACCAAAGCGAAGCGAGAACGACGAACTGCTGAAGATGAACCAAGACGTCGATCTCTTCCAATCAACATATTTTCGCTGCAACATCGGCAAGAGATGCTCTTACAGCAGCAGCACCGAAAACGTCTACCAAAGCAACAATTGGAGGGTCCACGTGATCTACAACCTTTTCTATTGGAAAGTGTTGATCCTCCACTTTTAAGTCGTGATCGAAGCAACACGCTCCACTCAATGACGGATTTGTTCCTTCCAAAAACTGGAGACATGCACGGCGTTCAAGTCACAACTCCTGTCAGGGCAGCTAGCCCAGCTTCGAGTCGTTCTATACGAGGAGCAGCCAAAAGAACGACAACACGTCGCCACTCAGGCAGCAATGTGGTCTATATCAATGGTTCTCCGTTGTGTGTTGGCAAGTTTATCAACGTCGGCAATGTACCAGGTGTGGTGCGCTTCATTGGCACTACGCGGTTTGCAACTGGCACGTGGGTAGGCATTGAGCTCTACGAACAAAAAGGCAAGAACAGCGGCACAATTAATGGAGAACAATACTTCAGCTGTGCACCAAACCATGGTATTTTCATTCGTGCCAGCCGCTTGTGCCTTTCACTGCAGTGAGGCCTAAGCTGTTTATAAACTTTCGAGTGACGTTATGATGGTTTCATTGCGACAAGCAGCAATGTGTTCCAGTCACACTCCAGCCAAAACACAAAGGAAGTCTACTGTTTCGACCAGCTCAAAAAGTCTGACCATGAATTCGATGCCTGAGTGAAGCAGCATCGCAGATCGCAATGCATGTGTCGTCTTCACTTAAGCATAGGAAGAAATTTGAGAACCAACATAAGAATCTGCAAAGATGTTGGTCCAATGAAGAAGTGTTTGTGTTACTTGTCTGAAAGCGCCTCGACGAACACAAGGTCATCCCTTGGCAAAGTCTACAGTTAGTTGATTATTTTGCAGGCAGTTCATACGTTTTCGATCCATGTCCGTAGACCCCGCAACTTTTATCAATAGCAACAACATTGTGTACATCGACAAAAACACGTGTGATAGCGTCGACAAATGAATCAAACGTTTCAGCGTTACATATCCCTGCAGTCCTACATCTTCGTAGAATCTCGGCTTACCACTTTCTTCAGATTACTTGCTACTCCTCAGCATCCTGATGCACTATTTTCCTTATAGTTTTAAAGCGTCATCAAGGACTTCTAGCGTTCTTGTCACGAATCGGTAGCTCATCTTCCAGCCAAATTTGGTTTCAGGAGCTTTCACACGAGAGCCAAAAGTGTTTTCATGACCAGCTCGCGACCCTGCCTCAACATTATTGTTGTCACCAAGACGCACTAGTTTTTTCATACCATCTACTGTTTCAAACCAATATTTTGCATTAGTTACTGCAAACCATTCGCTTTTCAATAGTACGCAAACGTTGCAACGTGTTATTCTTTGGCGTCTAATAATACTCTATGATGTTGGCGATGTTAGTGTCATGTTGTACGTTTTCGTCTTCCGAACGAGTTTCGATAAATTGAGCTGTCAATAGGTTGCAGAATGCGGTCATTTTAACTAAAAACAAAACACTTCCTGTACACGTCGACTGAGTCGCAACTTGAGCTTGTAACACATCAAAAGGCAAAAGTCGAGCTGCGTGGGACAATCAACGGACGATCTCATCCTGGAGTTCGAGATTGTATAGGTAGGAATGAAATCAAGTTGCAATGCATATGTATAGTAGTGTTCATAGATAAAAATGCATCAATACACCGTGGGTTTGCCTACTTTTTTTGTAAAGACTTGCCTCATGATTGATGCACTGTACTAATACTGATCTTAAGCTGCGATGACGCGTGACGCACGATCATCGATCGCCTTTTGGGCATTCAGTCTCGCCTGCTTCATAGCGACAGCAAACGCCGAAGCTGCATATGCAGCGGTAGGGCTACGAACAGAGGTGGTGGCCCTCATGTCATCGTCACTCTCAGTCGGCACCTTTATCACTCCAATGGACAGCGATGAAACGTCTGCCGTCAAGTCTTCGAATCGCATTTGATCGCTTCCTGTCGGGCTTCGAACCCGTTCCTTCTCTTCACTCAACGAGCTGCTACTGCTGCTGCTCGTCACCGTCCACACCGGACTCTCCGGTGGCTGTTGCTTTGACTTCGACCTCGTGAATCGACTTCTCACTGGTGTGTGTGAACTCACTGGTGTAAATGCTGTCGGACTTTGGGCTTGATTAGAACCAGCACTTAGATCACAAAGTGGATCTTCGCTCTTATGGCGACTTGTCAATGCATGATCAACCGCAGGAGGCACCTGGACCTTGTTGCCATTGGCATCGGTCCCAGCTGCCAACAGATCCGACACATCAATAATCCACGCCATCGGGTCGGCACTAGTCAAATTAACGTAAATGGCGGGTGCACCACCGTAAAAACGCTGAAAAACTTCCCAAACTTCGGGTGAAAGCAACTGAAAATCCGCATCTTCACCGGCCCTTGCAGCGTCGCCGGAAATTACATTATCCCGGATGAGACCGGGACGACGCATCAATCTACCGCGTGAAAGTTCAAGCAGGGATAGATTGTCAATCGGTCCAGGGGCACGACCCATAGTATTGATATCATCGTTGTTAGAAGCAGAAATGGCCATGTCCGTATCAAAGCCGTAGTCAAGATCGCAATTCGAGTTCGAACTCGATGCTGACGACGTAAACGCCACCCAATTACGCAACCAGCGGCTAGAGATCACGTACATTTTCTTCTCGGAACTTCCACGCCGACGTGAAAGTTTGCCAGCAGCCATGACTCGGCGCACTTCCGCAAGTCGATCACGGTAGCGAGGTGTCGCTGCGGGGGCAGGCATCGTCGGTGAGTGACAAGTTGAACCGACAGGGACCGATTGGTGATGTCTTTTGATTAGAGTTGCCCCTGCCACGTCCGGTTTGACAATTTCCACACGATTGTCACCAGCACGCGCCATTGCTTGCAACAACGTACAGCATGCGACACACGCCCGACGAGGGGTTTTAAACTTGTTTGTAAGCGAAACTTGGTCTTGTGAGCACGCACCACACACGAGTTCACCACAAACTCGACAATGATGTCGACGTCGAGACAATTTCGTAAACATGGCAAAACAGACTTGACAACACGCACTTTCATCGTCCTGTCGCCATGCAACGTCATATTTGGCACTTTGTCGTGCTGCTCGACAAGTGTCTCGACGTCCATCCCGCATCGTGATATCAATTCTTTCAGACGCACGACTGAACGATTGCGACATTCGCATGAGTGGTCCACGACTACGAGCCATCGTATCTCTTAATCCCACGCTTGTACTAAAGTCTTGAGCTCTTGACTCAGTCTCCACAAACCGATCTTCGCCATAATTATTATTCGATCGTTTCGATCGTTTCGATCGTGGTGATGATTCATCTTCCGACATTTCATCGTCCGTAAACATTGATGCATCCGTAATCAATTCATCACAATCATCAACGTCGTTGGAAGAATAGTAAATAATCATCGGCCGTTTACGGTCACGAGATAACATTCGACAATGGGAATGACGTGGTAGAGGTTGCAAAGCTGCAAGAGATTCCATTGGGTACTTGGAAGTATTCTTTTTTCCATGAAAACGACCAAACAATGACGATGTGGACATGTCTAAATTATTAGTGCGTTCCATTCGTGAACGACGAAAGGATGGCGAATTGCTCATAAGACGTTAGAAATTCCACCGAAATCAGCTGAAACTGTCTGAAAATATATATCGTTTAGAGAAAGAGGGGGGAGAGGGAAGGAAGAGTCTCAGTTAGTAATTGAAATACCAACAAAACGCTCGTGTGTTTTTGTGTTTTAGGTTATTGGTATCACTTGATTTTCTGTCAAATGGCAATACTGTAGCAATTGATAGAGTGTGGCGTATTTCGTAATGTCATGTAAAGACTTTGTTTTTAAAAAAAGAGAGTGGCTTTTTTTTGATGGGACGACAAACGCACGTAAACCAGATCCCTCGGGTGTTTTGTCCCAAAAAATCTCGACCCACTGGTATTAAACGGTCAACGTCCCATCGTTCAGTGCGATGCGACGAGATTTTACAACTATAGACTTGAGATATTAATTCTTACAGGTCTTTGACGAGGCTTTTGGACTAGGGTTAAGTGCTGATAGAGCCATTACCAGACGTATTTGTTTTTTTATTTGAAATATTGTTGACCACTTTTTCTGATTTCGTTATGCCAACTTGGACGTATAAGTAAATAAAGTATTTGAAAGGTACGACGTGACTCTAAGTCTCTGGCAATAAAAAATTGCCGAATCATTAAAATTCCGACCTGTTCATGGAGTTGTGTCTAAATTTGAGAACGCTTTTTGCAGTGTCGAAATGGTCAAAGACTATCGATTTGTGGCGGTTGAGCACAAGTCAATTGACTCAATTTGTGAGACTTGACTCATAAGAATCTGTACTCTTTTTTTTTGCTTGAGTAGAGGTCAATAGAGAGGATTATGGTCTTTGGTTCATTATTGCTGCAATGACGACAAGCTGTTTAGGATATAGACAGCTGTGGGACGACTTTACCGGCTGATTTAATGCTCTTGTCTTTACTGCAAAGAGGGGGTCAAGCATGTTTTATATTTCACGTTTCCATAGCACGGACGCAATCAACGAGTGCCATGGCTTTCGAAACCTGCTGGATGTCTTTAAAAAGCTCTGTATCAATTGTAAATCGGTTGTTTGCAAAAGGTCACAAGCAGGACGTGATGAAATCGTGGCAGTGACGAGGTTTTTGACAACTTGTTAAAGTCCATTTGTTCAGCCAGAAGGACAAAGTGCCAGACGGATCGTATGGACAGTCTAATTATTTTTTTAGTCCGCCCTATTTCGCAAACCTCTTTGGAAAGACGTCGACAGTTTTGCTCATAAAACGTATGAGCTTTTATTTTCACGCAAGTTGGCGAGTGTATAGAGCAGAGAAAGAGAGAAAGCACTGGAAAATCCATTTTCGGTCAGCATAACTTCGAAGTCACATCGCTCGAACTGAATTAGTACAACCTGTAGATACAACGTATAGGCACTACGGTGACCACACTTGCATTCGTCAACGTCAACAAAATGGCAACAGTATAAAAGATATGCAGTCAAACTCAGTTTTTTTATCTCTATTGCATCAAACAGATCAACAGTTGGTTCATTTCCCATACATACATACACTTAACTGCGATAAAATAGCAATGATAAACGATAGGCAAATAACAAACATGCCAGCGTCGGATGGATCCTCTCAGAAAGGAAGCACGATCAGGATCTTCCATTCATCACCCTTCTAGCCATCATCTTGCTCACGATCTACATCTCAAACGTAAACTCGCTCACGACGGGAAAGTGGTCGGACAAGTTGTACTGGGATTGGCCACGCCAATTCCATGGCGACGTCGTCATCAGCGGCAACACCCAGCTTGATGCCGTCTTTGGCTGGCGGTGCGTGCGCGAGTAGAGAACATAGTCCAACAACTCAAGACTTCCGTCCGAACTTGGACCGTCAGCGGCCAAAGCATTCACGCGCGGGTCAAAACTATGCTTGCGCAAGTACTTGAACTCCCCCACCAATTCCTTCTTATCCGAATCTGACGCGTTGCCAAGTTTTCGCGGATGAACAACCGACGGATCCTTGGCTTCGAAAATTTCCAACATCTCGTCGTACTCTTGATTCGTCTTATTCAACCAGTAGTTGACATTCATGTCTCCCACAAATAGCACAACGTCATTCACTTTATCCATATCCATTGCATTCATAAACTTTGCGATCATAATCATCTGTGTTTTGCGCATAATTCGCGATAACGAGTCGTTCCACGCCTGCAAATGAGTCGAAAAAATGTGCACCAGCAGCCCATCCTTCAGAATCTTGCAATACAGCACACCCTTGTCGGCCATCTTATCGCTACCAGCACAAGCCCCTTCGAACAGCTTTACCCGTACGCTGAGAATCGGATACTTACTAACCAGCACAACGCCTCCGTTGAGCAGCTTGCGCATATTTGACTTGTTCACGCGCTTGTGGCCAACCGTTGGTGAGAAAAAAAGTAGCCAGCCTCCGCCATCTTGTCCAGCAAAACATCCCGGGCACGGTAGTCAAAGCACTCCGTTAACACCCAGATGTCACAAGGAGGCAATACGTCGCCGATCATACGTGCACGAGTGTTCTTCTTAGGTGAACAGCTCGTAAACGCGCTTACCTTGCGAGGCAACATCCAAACGTTGTACGTGCCCACGCTCACGTTCACTTGACGTTTTTCCAAATGCGCCAAGTAACGCGTCGACTCTTTGGCCATGCACTTTAAATCGCCATCTTCACGCAACGGCACAATCGTCGTGGACGATGCCTCCGTTGTCAAGTACAAATCACTGTCCTTGTAGTACTCGCGAGGACGAATGCCACATGCACGGCCGTTAAATTTGGAGATCAGGGACATAGGCTGTCCCCAACGCAGATACTCGTCAATAGGAGCCAGTGGTAGGCGATAGTTGCTGCCAGTTGTCTGATGTCGGACTGGCTCAATTGTCGCTACGTAATACTTGCCCAAGTGATTGTTAAACGACATGTTCGGTAAGTCTCTCATGAGCGCTTTCTGGCGCTGCCTTAGCTCCTGGCGGTCGCGCTGACGTTCACGTTGCTGCTGGAGGGTGTCCGTGATGTCGGAAACTATGTTCATATATGACTCCGAAATAGATCGGCAGAACGCCTTGGAACTCAAGCCTTGCATAGCTGGCTCCGACGACGTCGAGGCAACAGGGCGACCACAACGCGACAACGTGTGTGGTACGTCAGTATTGTTAACGACATTTGTCCCGGTCGGATCGTCTGTGTAGGAAAGTGCAAGCTGCAGTGATCGTGGATCATCAATTGCAGCTCGAAACGCCGTAGAAGCCGAGTTAATCGTGTCAAAGCTGCGACGCTGAGCACTGTTCTGCATGAGGCTTACCGAATGCTGCTGCGTTCGTCTCGACAAAACATTAGAAAGATTCTGCAGTTTTCTTCCCCGTGGGTAGTTGATCAGTACTGGTACTTGTCGCTGTGTCTGTCCTTGGTTTTGACTTTGATCAGCTATATTCACCATGAAATTACTATGGTCAACATCTCGAACCAGTGTGTGGTCATTCTGTTCTGTTTCTTTTTTCTTTGCTCTTCGTCCCCATAATTTTTGTTGCATGGATTACTGGACGAGACGAGCGCCGTAGTAAGCGATTGAAGACTTGTTCTCTTACTAGAGCTATGACGCATTGCCGCCTCTTCCATTGCCAAAAGACTTGCACGCACTTGTCGATGAAAGGCCAAATTCACAGGCGGTTTACTAATCGTCACTGCTCTTCTATGTGTCAAATATCTAATTGCTCGGCCTGTTTCCGGATGGACAACAACCAACGGTGTTCCAAATTTTACTGGCATTCCCACACTAGAAAACACGAGCTGTTGTTTCTTTGGATCAAACTCAAAAAGTCGAAAAGCCACCGACCCATGAGTTACCTTCGGGCCAACTACAGGATCTTTCCATTCTCCTGCTACACCACTCGTTCTCTTGGTTCGTCTAGGAAGAGACTTGTATTTACTACACAAACCTCGATCTCTGAATAATGACATGGAAGTGTCTTCCTGGTAATCACCATTTCTCAAGTCCTTGTTTTCATTGTATATTTCATCTCCAAAAAGTGCCGCATACCGTTTTCGAAAAAGTCCTTTACGCCAAACAAAAAAGCCCGCAATTCCCATGAGCCCACCCGTCGCAACAGTCGAAAGAGCCAAAAGAGCCATTTGGTGATAAGTTAAATTAAATTTGCGAGTAAGAGCCAAGAGTTGTCCATCACAGAGAAAAACAATACGATCACCATAACAAATATATTCGTCCATGTCTGTCATCTTTAGACCTATTTATTTAGAAATAGAAATAGACATTAGAAATAGGAATGAAGCGAGAGAATATATATAAATAGCAATAACTTACTACTATCATTCTTATTATATGGGGGACATTGACATCGTTGAGAGGGTTGATAAAGAAGTGGAAGTTCATCTGTATGCTCATCCCTCATTGGCATAATTTATTATGTCGTTACGTATTGACGGAACTTTTGGGACTGATCGAAAATGGGTGATTATTGGAAGCTATTTTTAGAACTGAATTACGAACTTTGCTAAGAGTTTACGTAATCGACTTTTATTACTATGTTTCGGGAACATATAGTCTGGATATGATAACGTATTTGAAAGGAAAAGAAAGCGGATTTGAGAGGGCTTTAGAAGCTAGAGGTCATTAAGTTTTTGTATGGCCTTTTTTTGGGGGGGGGGATCTTTATTGCGACTTTGTTTCGAGACAGTTCCAGATGGTGTCAAATTGTGATGAGGACTTTGTGTCGCCATAGTGAATTTCTCATAAAATTGACGCAGATTTGCTGCAAATGGGATCTTATGCTTTTATAGTTTTAGTGCAGTCTTGACAGGGTGATGTATCTGAGAGGCACGAAATACTGTTTACAAAGCCTGTATTGCTTTCAACGTACGTAGCCAACTTGTCATTGTTACACTCGTGAAACACAGGAACCCTATAAACATGCTACTGTAGAAAACTGCTTCAGGTGTTACTGCCTTAACTGATAACCTCTCTTAACTGTTTGATAATAATATCATATTCTACCATTTCCGTAGCGAATGCATCGTATACAAAATCATTGTAAAATACTGGGTCCCATCTCGGTCATACGGACAGTCACAAATGTGAGATTGTGGCAATCGGAATGCTCCCGTGAATCCTTGAAGGATACTATTAAAGTAGCAGAGATAGCCAGTTCAAAGCCATGTGCAGAAATAATCTTCCATCTTCTGCTGACTTCGATTGTGTTCTGCGCCTTCCTTTACACCTTTTTTTGATTCAATGACATCTTGTCCCGAGTGCAAGGGTGGTGGCTGGTTTAAAGCGTTTAATGCATACATAATCAAATAAAGTAACATGTTGTCCGAATGTAAGAGTATGCAGCTTAGGAAAATGACGTGCAGTAAAAATAAACGAGTGCTGCGGTGGTTTTTTGAGACGGTTCTTTATTTCTCAGTTTAAGTGGCTTACGACAGTCGATTGATTAACACGATCAGAGTTGTAGCATCAAGATACTTTTTACCATATTAATGTCGTCTCACTGTTCAAACTCATGTTTTTACTGATCAGCAGCATGTTTTGCATAACACATGCCGTGGTCGTGCTTTTCCTTAGCATTAACCGTCTCCATTGCTGTCAACTGCTCAGGTGTCGTAATCTCCACAACAATATCATTCACTCGTGGAATAGTATGCTTGATGGCGCGTTTCGCCTTTTGCTTCCACTCAATAGCACGATGCACTGCTGAGGCGTCATCGACCACTAACGTCAGATCGACATGGATATTTCGACCAACCTTGCGGCTACGTAGTTGCCGAACACCCAAAACTTCGCCGCCACTACTTCCAATGACCTTATTAACCGCTTTCTCTAGTCTTTTGATAGTAGTATCGGATACCTTGGCATCACACAACTCCTTTATCGAGTTCCAGCCCAATTCCGTGCCCATTTTCAAAATGATTCCACCCACAGCTATACCAGCAAGTGGATCAAAGAATGGAAAACCTGCAAGACTCAATCCAATGCCACCCATTGCCACCAGACTCGTCACAGCATCACTACGGTGGTGCCATGCATTGGCAATAAGTACCGACGAGTGCACACGTTGACCAATGCTAAAAGTGGTGCGATACAGAGCCTCTTTGGCTGCCACAGACAAGGCAGCGATAATCAATGCAGCCGGATGCATGATCATCTCATGTCCATGGCTATGAACTCGATTGGTTACACTCTCCACAGCTGAAAGAGGTTCCATTAAAACCAGGAGCGAGTCCAATGAGTGTACTAGAATCCCCATGGATCCTCCTATCAACAGTAACGACACTGATAAGGCCCCAATGGTCTCAAATTTTCCATATCCATAAGGTTGTAAAGCATCAGGTGGTCGTGTACAATATTTAAGTGATACGAGCGTCACAAAGTCACTGACCAAGTCACTTATTGAATGCACAGCATCTGCCAAGAGTCCAGACGAGTGAAACGTCACGCCGGCGGCTCCTTTTAAGCCACTGAGGACCACATTAAGCCAAATACCGACCCACGTGATACGATCTGCACCTTTTACATCATCAGCTGATAATTTCAGTCGCAATGTTCGTTGTTCCATTGTCTCTTCTTCTTCTTCTTCTTCTAAATTTCCATGACTGTGGCTGTGATATCGGGAATATGTTGCATGGTAAAGTTCCAATTGTGGTAATAGTAAAGATTTGGAGACCGAATGACGCACAGAGTGGAATTCTTGTCTTGTAAATGGTAATAAACGGCTAGTGATGACTTTATGAATCTTGGCGATAGGGGATACGGACATTAAAACAAGTCGCCGACTTGTGTAGGAACTGCATTTCGATTATAAATGGATGGAAAAATAAATAACAATAAGGTCAAAGTAAGTGAATGAATATGCATTATTAACTCTTTTTATTCTTTACTGTGCGTACCAAAGCAGCAAGTGGGTGCTCATAAGAAACCGAGAATAAATTTATTATAATTTTGAGATTGAAACACGTAAAATGTCTATTGACTTTAACGATACGTGCCAGTTACAGGTTCAGCTTGATTAACGTTAGTAACCGTCCCATTCTAACGATAACGGCTGAGTCATTTATTTTGGTGTGCAATTTGTGGTCTATAAGGTCGAAAGTCTCACTACTTTATTGTTCCTTACACCATTCTCGCTACCTTGTTTTTAGGACCCTCTCTTCTCTCGTCACTAACGTGTGTCTTCATGACGCATCATTTACCGGTGGGCAAGCTTGGTCGACAGAGTGGACATGGCCTTGACCTTACCATCAGGCACCATAAACATAATGACTGGTTTATCGTCCGAGATGTACGGAACGTCCACACGGAAATACCCGCGACGCTCCAGCTGCACAATCTCACCCTCCTTCATGTTGCGAAGCTCGTGGTCACCCACAGCGTGCATCTCAGCACGCGTGGTCTCCGTGAGAAAGTCGTAAAAGTTGTCGCCCTCCTCCAGCTTGGGCTTGTTGAGCAAATGATCGAACTCTACCAGCGTGAGGGGCACAAGATCCTGTACATCAGCCAGCCATGTGACTTTCAGCTTCGTCTTCTTAAAGTCGCCTTCTGGAAAATTCTCAGCCTCGACACTCGTGATGGTGCCGTCTGCAGCCTTGTTCAACTTCTTGACAATGATGTTGCCATGACGCATAAGAGTCACCTCCTCACCCTCTACAAACTTTGCAACGTCGTCACGTTCAAGCAGTAGTTTGTTGCAGAAACGTACCATCTTGTTGCCCATGGACGGATCCTTCGGATGGCGAGCTACCGGAATTCCAATTACCTCGCTCGACACATTCGTAAGCGTAAGCAACACCGACAACTCCTTGGCAACAGCGAAGTAACGCGGAGCAATCGGATCCAATACCCGCTTGTTGACTGTCCAAAACTTGTCCCACTCCATGTCAGTAATACGACGCGAAGCACCCTGGCTTAGAATGAACTCACGCAGCGCATCCACCTGCACACCGCGACGGAGCACACCTTGCACCGTCGGAAAACGCGGATCCGTCCAGCCTTCCACATGGCCGTTGTCCACAAACCACTGCAATTTCCGCTTCGATAGCACTGAGTACACAAAGTTCATACGAGCAAAACTCTGGATAATCACCTTGCGCAGACAAAGCGTGTCGAGCACCCACTGGTACTGAAAGTCACGGTCGTTGTACTCCGTCGTACGCAGTGCATGGGTCACACCTTCCAAGGAGTCCACAATGGGGCACGCAAGATCATACGTCGGGTACGCCTGGTACTTAGTTCCTGTGCGGTGGTGCGGCGTCGGATTCGAACGGAAGAACACGGGGTCACGCATCGTCTTGTTCTTTGCCTGCATGTCGATCTTGCCGCGCATACAATAGCCCTGAGCCTCCGGGTCGTTCTTTAGCATCTTCTCAAACAGTGCCAGATTCTCTTCCGGTGTCTGGTCACGACACTTGGAGTTAATGCCCTCCATACGTTCCTCTCGCATTTGTTCCTGTGGCGTGTTGTCCATATACGCGTTTCCTTCGCGGATCATTTGACGGGCAAAGTCCGTGATCTTTGGAAAATGGTCCGACGTGTACGTCACGACATCCGGTACGACACCAACACGTCTCAAATCCGCCAGAATGCTCTGCTCAAACTCGTCCTTTTCCTTGCTCGGGTTCGTGTCATCGAAGCGCACAATGAGTTTGCCGTGATAGTGACGTGCGTAATAGTTGTTTAGCATACAAGCCTTCATGTGGCCAATATGGAGGTATCCAGAAGGTTCAGGAGGGAACCGCGTCACAACTTGTCCGTCCACAGCGTCCTGTAAAGGCGGACAGCTTCCTACATCCTTGATCTTCTTTCCATTTCCAGCAGGAATAGCAACCTGATGAGGCTTCAGAGCCTTTAAGGAGCTGTCAACCTTTGCAAACAACGTTTGCTGGGCTTCCAAGTGCATCATCCAGCGAGTAACGTACGTATACGATGATAGGTCCACATTTTTCTGCAATAAAGTAAGCTGAGCCCAGATGCCAATGTCTGCTAGGGACAAAGCATGACCGACAAGAAAAGTCCGTGTCTTAAGCACACGATTCAAAATCTGAAGTCCGCCATCGTTTTCTAAAGTAACGCCAAGACGAGTGAGACCAAAGTCAAGCCATGCATCAATCTGGGAAGGTGGCAAGGCACCGTCTATGACCATTGCATCCTTTGCTGCCACACCATACAACCCCAATTCTGGCTTAGTACGAGCCAAATACCGGGCAATGGCAAAGTCGCCAGACACAATTTGGCCATTAGTTCGAGAAAGTGTAGGCACTAAAGTAGAACTGGTAGTATCACGACCAACATTATAAAAACTTGGGGTGTAGTTGACGAGTTGTGCGACGATGAAACTGGCCCGAGGTAGCTGCCCGGCACTAGAGAACACAATAACGCCATCATCTTCAATGGAGAGCGTCGGAAGCTCCATACCTGCATGCAAGGCCTTTTGTAATGTCTTCTTGGTACCGGTATTGGTACCGGTACTGACCGGTACTGAAGTAGCAGCAGGGACAGCGACCAACTCGTCTGCTACGCCAGACTTGACGGCGTGTTTGTGCGCTTTCTTACGCTCTTTATTGAGCTCTTTCTTTGATTTCTTAGACGGATCCACAACCGTCGGCTGTTCGGATTGCGTCTTCTTTTCCTTCTTGGCCTTGGGCGGTGGACCAAAGTCTTTGCCTGTCACGGCTTTAAACTGCGTCTTAAGTGCTAGCAATTGCGCTACAGCCGCTTTGATCTCATCGGCATTACTAGAGTCTTTTGCCGCCTTTAAATCGCGTACTTTGTCACCAGCAGCCGCAATTTCAGCAATTAGTTCCGCCTCCGTTGACATTTTCGTGATGAATTTTATTCTTAGGCTTGAGACGGCAGAACCACGAATGAAAGGGAGCCTGAAAATGGGTTGTTTTGAGGATATGTGCCGAAATATGGGTACATTTGGGAGCGAATGTTGAGAGTCCAGCAGTTACCGGTATGGTGTTCAATCTCACATGTTCAAAAGGTTTAAGACAGGGTTTTATAGATTTAGAAAAGCTGTAAATTGGTTATAGCAGCAACTCAAGGCAAAATATATCACCTTTCCAATTTGTAGCATATTAACTAAAGTATCTATTATTCGAAGTATCTTACTACTATAAGTATTTTAATTCTGAAGTATTATTCGTAAGTTATATTACATATACGGGAGCATGCATGTGCTCAGTAAATATATAGTGAAGTGATGGCTTTGGCTTGTGCAGCAAGAGACTCGGGCCTGTCACGCTTAAGAGCTGCCTGGCGTAATCGATATGCGACCACGAGTGACGTCGGACGTTTACTCGGATCCGGCAGCAAACAATCATGAGCAAGCTTTTTAATAACTTCCGGGCACGTCACACGTAACAAAGGCTTCCAGCCATCGGCCACGATCTTGCGCACGAAAGCGTTCTCGTTTATCGAACGGAAGTCGCTGTCGTCGCTGCTGCATTCGCTTAAGGTGCTAACCGCTGATTTCTCTCGCTCATGAAATGGCAGCGCACAAGTGTCAATCTCCGACAACACAATCCCGAAAGCGTACACGTCAGAAGCTATGAAGGACTGTGCCCCTCCTTTAATCAATTCTGGAGCCATCCAACGTCCTGTGCCGTAAGCTCGAGAGCCATATCGGGACGAGCTAGCATTGTTCTCGTGTTTTCCTGCCAACTCGGTGTCTTTGTCCTCATCAGACAAAAGGTAGTGCGAGAGCCCAAAGTCAGTCAATTTCGCGCGAAGGTCGCTGCGTAATAAAACGTTGGCTGACTTTAAGTCGCCGTGTACCAGAGGCGGATTAAGCGAGTGGAGATACACGAGCCCTTCGATGATGTCAATAGCCAAACGCCACTGGTATTTTGTCCACGTCCAGATACTTTGAAATCCACTGTTTGGCCTCGAAGAAGTATCACCCTTGCGCCTGATGGTGCCAAGAAATGTCTTCAGGTCACCCCGAGGCAAGTATTCCATGACAAGAAGCAAGCTTCTTTCGGAGCTCAACGCTACTCCACGAAACTCGACAATTCGACCGTGCTCTAGCCGCGACATGATACGTATTTCCTCAATAAAACCTAGAATGGCACGACGGCGGCCATCACTCCACTTGATAGATAGTGGCGATGAGGTACCGGTCGTGACTTGTTGCAGCAAGTTCTTTACCACGACGTCCTGCGATCGATGTATCGCTCGCCATACTTCGCCACATGCGCCAGTAGCCAGCATTTCCTTTTTAACGATTGCATTAAAATCGATACGGTGCGAGAGCAGTTCTTCGTCATCCCAAATGGATGGAAAGTCTGAGATCAAATGGGAGGGTTTCTTATCCACAACCTTTTCTTTAGACGTCTGCAAAATTTCTGCCGCTACTTTCATTGCCATATCTTCGACTACCATCGGGTTGCTTGTAACAATAGTCTGGTCCACCTGAACTGGAGATGATGCTGATTTAGATGCTTCACTGACGCTACATTTCACTCTCTCTCTCCTCCTCACCATTGCTTCCTCTCTTCTTCTGCTTTTGGAACTCGTATTTGAAAACAATCCACTGCCAATTGAATCTCGAAAACTGCTCACAGGCACGGAATGTCGTCTCTTACATTTTGATGTATCTTCAAACACAAAGTTCGGATCCATTTCCATCTTCTCCTCCGTCTTCTTTTCATCCCCAGTCAAAGTCTGTACATTCTCCTCATGTTTTCCTTTCTGCATCATTTTCTGTTTACGCAATCCGTAGCTGTTCATATGGTACTTAAAGCAGTGTGTCCACACACTACAGGCTTTCGCCGATACTGCCTTGAAATTCTCTTCTTCTTGTCGATTACAACATTTTTGAATATCTTCACCAAATAACCCTCTCCATGACTCAATAGCTCGTCTCGTCATTGACTCCGACATCTGATTCTGATTCTGATCTGCTCGATATCCCTGTACCAGAATAAGTCGATCTCTACGACTCGTGAGCGTCACTCTCGTCAGTATCAGATGTTGTAATAGTTTTCGATGCTCTTTTTCTTCATCTGAATAAACATCAAGTGTTGCTTGTTGCGCTTTAAACACGCAAAAACGACGACGATACCGACAAAAGATTCCCAGTCCTTCTCGACGCCATAACCAGCCTTTTAAACGTATAGGAAGTGCCATAACTTGCTCAGATGAAGCATAAAGAGGATATTGTTCTTCTAAATATTCGTATATTCCTTCTTCCGGCTCACGTACACTACGCATAGCTACAGAAGCCCCAATAGTGACTCTATCGACCATGTTAAATAATATTCTTATTCTTTTCAATCGATGATTGGCTACTGAGGTCGAATCAGAATATCGTGTATCGATTGGTTAAATCTTTTAGAGTAACCTTTTACCCAATCAATAAGATGCAAGTACCGGTATCATACCGACTTTATCATACCACGCGGCAGTCCTCAATCCATCATCAAAACTTTGTATAGAATGGTGTTATCGGCTGTGTTTATCACTGACTTGAAAGGAAAGGTTATTATCTCACGTAATTATCGTGGAGATATCCCCATGTCTGCATCGAATACATTTACGCATTATGTGCAAGAGAAAGACGACTCGGAACAACGTCCTGTCTTCACTGAAGCCGGTTACACGTTTGTGTATCTCAAGGTATGAGAGGGTTACATTTTTGGTCAATGTAACCTCGTAGGATTTTTACCGGTATACTGACGTCTTTGGTTATGATATTTTTATATTTTGATGTATTGATACACCACACAGCATAATAACCTCTACTTGATGACCGTAACCAAGACCAACTCAAACGTAGCTTTAATGTTGATGTACCTTACACGAATTTGCAAAGTCTTTCGTGATTATTTTGGGGAACTGGAAGAAGAAAGTATTCGTGATAATTTTGTAATTATCTTTGAATTACTGGATGAGACAATGGATCATGGATATCCACAGACAACAGAGGCTCGGATCTTACGGGAATATATTACTCAAGAAGGACATCGATTGGAAGCAGCTCCACGTCCTCCTACAGCTTTAACCAATGCCGTTTCGTGGCGTAGTGAAGGAATTAAACATCGAAAGAATGAAATCTTCTTGGATGTTGTGGAGAAACTCAATCTACTTGTCTCAAGTAATGGCACAGTGTTGCATTCGGAGATTATTGGAGCTGTTAAGATGAAGAGTTATCTATCAGGAATGCCGGAACTCAAGCTTGGACTTAATGACAAGGCACTTTTTGAAGCAACAGGTCGGTCTTCTAGTAAAGGAAAAGCTGTAGAGATGGAAGATATCAAGTTTCATCAATGTGTACGACTTGCACGTTTCGAGTCGGATCGAACGATCTCATTTATTCCACCTGATGGAGAATTTGATCTTATGACGTATCGTTTAGCGACACACGTGAAGCCACTCATTTGGGTCGAAGCTGTTGTGGAACCTCATTCACGCTCACGTATTGAGTACATGGTCAAGGCCAAGTCGCAGTTTAAGAGTCGCAGTATTGCGAACGGTGTGGAGATTGTAATCCCTGTACCTCCTGATGTCGACTCGCCCAGCTTTAAGTGCAGCATTGGCTCGGTGACGTACGTGCCCGATCGTGACGCCATTGTTTGGTCCATCAAGCAGTTCAACGGATCTCGCGAGTACCTGATGCGTGCACACTTTGGTCTACCCAGTGTAGACAACCACGAGGCTACAGATGACTGGAAAGCACCAATTCAGGTCAAGTTTGAGATTCCCTACTTCACAGTCTCGGGCATTCAGGTGCGCTATCTAAAGATCATCGAAAAGAGCGGCTATCAAGCATTGCCGTGGGTCCGCTACATTACTCAGAACGGCGAGTACCAGCTCCGCATGTCTTAGATGTGTATTTTGCTTGGCTCAATAAAGATGAAGGCTTAGTGCTGGTTTTCACTCTGCGCATAATAAAGCCGGTGACTGACTGGTAAGACCGGAAAACCCAATTTGCTCAAGGATGGTATGAGCGCACGATGAAAGGCAGGACGGAAGACAATCATTCGGTAAGTAGACGGTAAGGAAGTGGTAGGGTAATGCGCGGAAAATGCTTTTCTTGGGCTGGACGCTGTTTGCTGAATGTGAAAGGTGTTAATGAGTAGGTGGTTGTCTTGCTTTACATAGTGGCTGTGATCAGGCTTTTTGGACGTACGATTCAGCGCATATGACATGCCAAATACATTAACAGGTTCGTCCTAAAGCGTAATTGTCATGCCAGGGTTTGTTGTGGCGCATACTGGTCAATAAGCAGACCAAGGTGTCCACCACCAGCGAGTGACAGTGTATTCCAGTGTCTTCATACGCGCTTCTAGGATTAATGACAGTGGCCGCAGTTGCATTCGCTCCTCGCCATTGAGCTTTAGCAGAAAGCTGGTATGACTCAAACCCACACGTTGTCAGGCACCTGTTTGAAATAATCTACATGCAGTGATGCCCGTAGAAGGTGACTTGGATGTCTGCAAAGTTACAAAACTCAGCCCAGAATGGCCACGCGACCATATTTTGATTCAACACTTCATGTCAATATTGCCGCTGCCTACCTGCGCCAGAGACCCTACTCGTGCTGCTGGCTGACGAAAATTTGACTTTCTTGGAAGGACGCAAGCTTGAGCTTTTCTTTTAGCGTCTATTCTCGAGGACACAGGAGCTTCGCATAGAAATGTCTGTCAGTACGTGCTTCCAAGAATACCTCGCTTCTTTCGATTGTCCATTCCTAGGTGGACTTGAGTCTGATTGCCACTTATGTTTACAGCACAACAGCAGTCGACAACACCTTTGCGGTATGCTTCGAAGTCACCAACATTTCATGTTATAGTGCTCTTTTGCCAGCAGGTAATGTCAAACGGGTCTTATAAAAATGCTAAGATGGTGTATGAGGTGCTGAAGCCTCCCACTAAGACAGTCTTGTAGATCACGCGCCTAAGTCTGAAAGCAACTTCCACAACCAAACATCTTAAATCACATCTTGTTACGAACATCTCTGCCGTCTTGTGCAGTGTACCAGCAAAAACATTGTCCAGGTGAAACAGCGCTTGATGCTTCAAGGTTGGTGTCAAAACTGTCGAGATCCAAATGACGCCTTCGCTGAGCGGCAGCGAGTGCAGCAAGAACCTGCGGCATATCTGAGATAAAGCAAAATGCCAACTTGAGAAGTCATCCCAACAAGACCTTGTCCAATCATTAGAAGCGCTTCAGACAAATGTTGCTTCCATGCTCTTCGTACTCCTTCCTGCTTACGACGCGTTCAGACAGCGCGTCCGAGCCCGCTAAAGAACAGCAACCTTGCCATGCTGCGAGTACTGGACTGCAGTAACATAACACAAGCAAGCCAGCGAATCAACACACATAAATACCAAAAGAATCAGAGAACAACCATCGAGACAAGACTACTTACTCTGTTGGCACGTGAAGACCAATGTCAAAATCGACGGGCGCCAACGACCGTAAATCGCGCTCGAGTCGCTGCCGAAAGTTCTTAAATTTGGTGTTGCCCCCAACCAGCAAGATGTTTGCGTAAAAGGCATCTGAGAGCTCTTCCGGGCACGTCTTAACAGCCTGGACGATAGCCTCTGCGATTCCCGCCTGGTGAATACCAATATCTGTTGGATTGAACAGCACCTCCGGCACCGTTATCATTTCGACCCCCATTTCCAAGGCCTGTTCCTCTTCGGGAGCCTTCACAGGCTGTTCTTCATCGATCTCGGGCTCATCATCTTTTACATCATCTCCACGGCATCTTCCCTCAAAAGTATAGACAAAGTCAGGCAAAATCCAATGCTTCCTTTCCTGTCGATCAGTATGATATCGATGAAGGTCGTTTTCAAATTCCATAGAGCAATAGCAAAGTGCCTCTTTCAAGTCATTCATCACTCGTGTATCATCCATAACATTCCACTGACGAAATGATACAATCTCCTTGAGATAATTTGTCAGTAGTTTGCCACCGACATTAATACGTTTCACACCCGGTGTATAAACTTTTCCGTCAATCACCGGTACCACATGAGTAAATGAAAAGCCCGAGTCTACTACAAGATGACACGACGACGTCGAAAACCGAAGTAGATCTTCATCTAGAGACGTCAATGGATCGACCATCTTGATCTTGTTTCGGGAACTTTTGCTTGCTTGAAACTCACGTTCACAGTGTTCAGAGTAGGACAGCACACAAGTCTCAGCTGCACTAACACGAGCGTAGGACTGGAAATTCAATTCTTCAAACACCACTTGATCCATACTCTCATTCACGACTGTAGGGGCTAGTAATGGAGATGTAACGACCAATGAATACTCGATCGGATCCTTCACCTGAAGTAACTGCAGTGACATATCCATCATCCATTAGTCAGTCAAAAGAACGTCACGACCGACAACTTCAACTTCAACTTGCCTCGTCTGACATAACATATGTCCACAGTTCTGACTCGATGTTCCAATTGACACAGTACCCCCTGCTCACACGTCACAGACAAAATGGTAACCTTAGTATACCCTACTAACCCCACCCTAGTCTAATGTTGTAACCTCTGAACAGGCCGTAAGTAGCGCAACTTTGCACGCTGCCGCTCAAGTTCCTGCAGCTTTTGACCCATATAAATAACCGACGGATGAGCAGACAGAGACGCTACATGGTTTGCAAGAATCGAAACAGTTGGAGATACACCAGGAGCGACTACCGACGCCTTGAGTGTTGCTCCACCGGCATCTAGTGCTACCACTTTCATCTTGAAAGTGAGGTTACAGTGTAACCAAAATGTTGTACGAACGTTGCTTGTTATATACCAACTTTTCTATTCATTGAATATCACCCAATCAGCAACTTATATGTTAACGGTGATAGACAAAACATAGCGGTGAGGGGACATGACGTCGATTGAGACGTCTGTAACACGTGCTACAGCCACTAATCTACCAACGTCCTCCCACTGGGAGAAAGAGTTGTAAGTTCTGCATCGAATGAGTCTTCTTTTGCACTTGAATTCTGTCTCTAACTTTGTCAATTTATGAATTTTCTACTGCTATTGCAGCTTCACGACTTGGTTGCGACTTATGGAACGTCAAAAGGACGAAACGGATCTCACTCAGGCCCTTCAAAGTTTATTAACACAAGATGGAGATGCTATTATTAAATTACAAGATGCCAAACATCATGCTAACATGATGAGCGCCAATGACAAGACAATGACGGAATTGATGGCGCAACTTCACGAATTTTTCTTCCGTGATATTGTTCCAGCACTAAAAAAAATGAGAAAGGATGAGAACACAAGTACAGTATCTTTGCAACGACAAGAAGATCCTTTGGATCGATATTTAGAGCACGGAGATGACGGGACAGCAATGTCTCAAGCTTTTGTGGATAATATGAGTGGTTGGGCGGTACCAGTTGAGTCTGGTAGACAGGAAAAAATGAAGAAGAAAGTCCATGAGAAGAAAAAGAAAAAGAAGATGAAAAACGTCAAGGTTGTCTCATATGTTTCATCACAAGTCGGGGAAGAAGAAGTCATTGCTGAGCTTGAGAACGACGAGGATTCGGATGATGAGATCTCAAGTGATATGTTTCACGACATGTTGATTGCCAATAGTCTCAAACTGACTGCAATGCAAGCTCCAGACTATTCAACAATGACACCTGGGCATGTTTCTCAGCAGCGAGCCGCAGCGGTGCCTAAGACGATGGTGTCTCAGGGCAGTACAGCCGGAAATAGGGCAAGCGCACATTCACCCACTGCTGCTGCTGTTGCTGGTAGATTAAGGACCCGTTCATCGACTTCTGCTAGCCCAAAAGCGATAGTCGACAAAGGAAAGGTGAAGAAGGCCCTCAAGTGTGTGCCTTCGCCAGCCAGGATTTGCCTTTCTTCTCGATCGAGATCCGTCTCCGGATCGACGCCAGGAAGTCAAATGCATAGTCCGTCCGATCCAGCCAACAAAAAGAAAAGTCGTATTGGTAAAATTGCTGCAGCCAGCCTGGTCGCCGATCAAGTCTTGGATGTGCGTACATATGGAACAACAAAGGAATACCTCATTCGTTGGCAAAATAGGTCCACACCACTATGGATTTCGCGCCGCAAATCTCCGCCTCAAGCAAAAGAATTGATCGATGCGTACGCTGCAACGTTGCGTAAACGAAATAGCACATCAGAATCTCAGGAAAATGCTCGGGGTGGTAGTCCTGCTAAAAGAAAGAAAAGCGCAAGACATGGAGCAAAGGTGCAAATGGGGGGCGGCCCTGGAGCTAACGAGACAAAGTTTTACACTGTCGATCACATTGTTAATCATCGCACGCGTTACAATAAACGACAATACCTTGTCCGGTGGGAGAACTACTCCGAGAGCTCAGATACGTGGGAGAATGCCAACAAGTTGCGCATTGATGTACCTGATATCGTTGAGGCCTACGAAGAGAAACTTCAGTGTGATGATACTCAGACTGACGCTGATCACTTGGCCAAGATAGTTGATGACACTATGGTGGGATCAAAACGAAAGTCCACAACAACCAAAAGGCGAATTGGCAATGAGGATGTTGCAGACAAGGGCACGCTTAATGTGAAACGAGTTGCTGATGAGCGAACCAAAGAGAAGCGGCGGCGGATTACTACAGATGATGAAGGCAAAAGCGATGGTGCCGATGAGGATATTTTGAGCAAAGATGACTGACCAGATCGACTTAGAAGAGGCGGAGCTGGACGAAGAATGGAGTGACGGAGAGTCTTTGGACAATTAAACAATCGATTGAGTGCGATCTGATGGGACATATTGACTTTACTTTTTTGTAAAACCTTGTCGATGTTATTACTATCTTAATTATAGAACTAACTCCCATACGTACAAATGCAGCAAAAAGTAGTATAGAGTTGGAACCGCATCTCAGCATCGGAATAACCGTCACTGTCGAAGGGAGCTCGCGTTGTACTGATGAACGGTTTTATGTGATGGTACAATCTGCTGACACCCAAGAAACGGAACACAATTTGTCTGCTTTCTACTGGAAGGTAGCAATTTTTGCTTGAACTCCCCATGGGGGACAACCCCAGTAGATAACATTCTGTAAACTCAAGAGACGCCTTTACCAGCGGGGTCTTCGATGCAAAGTAAAGATATTGGGCATTATCGATAATTGTTTGAGGTGCTACCACTGCACGACAAATATTACGCCGTGCTAAGTATGCAGTTGACAGTCGTATATGTCCCTATTTTTCCTTCCGACACCCTTGACTTGAGAATAAAAGCAGGTACAAGCTCAAGTCCTGGTGAGGAATAGTACTTTCTTCAAGAGTTGGTAGAGTATCTCGTCCCTTGCAATGCAATGTGACGATCTCATTAGGCCACTTGAATGCCCGCATCAGGGTGGAGATCTCGCACAATAACGTGACATTTTAACAAATTAGCGCACCCGTGCTTTGCTACCTCTGCAGTAAATGACACTGGGACTGTAACGGGGTTTCACGATCGCTGGGTAATTACTACCCAGTATTACATCACTAAGTAAACTATAAATATTGCAAACCGACCCCGTGGTGTACTGATTTACCACTTACTGAAGGGCAAGCTGGGTGAAATATCACTATAAATATTGTATAACATGTATTTTGATACTTGAAAAAAAGACTTTAATAAGAGATTATGATGTCACTTTGGCCAGAGCTGTCTGAACTCTATAGGTAGGAGAAGACAGGAAGTGCACGGGTTGCAACACTTTGCAAGCGGTTTGAAAATCGATTAAACAAAGGTGCGACCATCTACGCTGTGCAACGTTTTGAAAAAGAGCTTCGTCACTAGCGAAATTATACTGACGATGACATCGAGGTTCATCTGCGTTAGATGAAAAACAAGAAACTTGGTCTGGCGGATTATAGAAGCAAGCCCTCGTTTACGACAATGATGATGTACACACTACAGAATATACCGAGCACGGTACCAGAGTTTGGACTGATTCAAACGCAGAAGTGGAGTGGAAATTCACCAGCTAAAAAAGATAGTAACGAGCTGGAGGAGCAGATTCGTGCAGCAAGCTTATGGTGTCAAATACGAAAGTCAACTAACGTATTTTCACATGGAGGACATCTGCAAAGTGAACATGCAGGGCCAACGAAAGGTGACAAAGCGAGAACGAATTCGATTGGACGTGGAAAGAGGAAGGACACCAGGGATTGTTACAACTGCGGCAAGACAGGACACTTGAAACGTGATTGTAAGGACGCGTTACGAACATCACAAAAGCCAATCGTATGTTTTGCGGTACAACCGCAGAAGAAGGCGCAGGTGGTGAATATTTTTCAAGGTCAAGATAGTCAACTCAAGCGCGAGGCGGATACATTGAATCTATAGAGTGATAAAACTTCGGAATCTTCGATACCAGATATTTCTCTATCTCAGCGGGCGACCAAGCAACGAAGTGGTGATGCTAAACAAAAGGTCAAGGGTACGCCAGAAAAAACGCAAATTGCTGGCAGTACCGCCAATAGTCACACATCACTGATGTTCGACACAGGTGCAAACGTCCACGTGTCAGCACGTCGAAACGATTTTGTTGAGTACCAGTCGATTTCATCGAAGTCGGAGGTCAGCCTCTCCGGTATATCAACAGCGCTCCATGCACAAGTGACTGGAATGGGTACAATTAAAGTGGATACAATGGTTGATGGTATAGAGAAATGTTTTCTGCTGGAACACGTATTGCATGTCTCAGATGCAGAACACGAATTTTTCTCTCCAGACAAGGCAGTCGAACAAGGATTTGAAGTTGACTTGGCCATTTCAAGCACGGATACTATGGTCTATTACCGTAAGCAACCGTTTGTTTGTCATTATGGAACGTAGGGATTCTCATTCTATCAAGTGCTGAGCTCGACGCTACCACTGAACTCGCGGAATGTGGAATCGCATCACGAAGATCATGCAGAAGACCCAGTCTTGATTCTCTTGTTGTTGAAAGTTACCTTCGACACAAGCAAAGTATTTAGCAGCAGATGGACTTGCTACTATGAAACTTTGGCATCAGCGTCCTGGGCACGCCTGTGAACAGTATCTGAAGACCATGATAGATCAAGGCTATGTCCATGATATGATTCTAATGGAACGGAATTCATCCATGTGTGACCCATGTCACGTTGGTAAACAGCGACGCCAACGCCGAAAAAAGAAAGAGCATGATATCACGGGCCTAAATCAAGTAGTGTATGCAGACCTTATGTAATCATCGAGAAACAATGGCCTCAAGTATACGGCGATTCTTGTCATGGTCAAATAGTCGTAATACTTGACAGCACATCTTCTTACAAATAAGGACGCGGAGAAGGTGAATGCGTTTATGAAAACTACGTCGATTGGGCCGAGTGTCAGGCTGGAAGAAGCATCAAGAAGATTGTGCATCGTCGGCGGAATATCATGGAAGGACATCGTACGTTACCTGTGAAAAATTTTTTACGGATAAAGGTGGTGAGCTTGTGTATATGTGCGAGTGACGTCAGAATGTCACGGAACACAAGAAACGCTGGACGGTCAAAATACGCAGATCTCTATTACGAAGCTCAGCGTGAAGAATTGGATGCAATGCAGCTCAAGAAAGTACCGGAAGCAATTCCTACGGCTGACATACCACCTGAAGCCAAACCAATTAGAACCATGTGGATGTGGGCACTTCAAACGGATCAATACGAATATTGTAACGGGGTGAGCCCGTTACATAATATTGACACTTATGTGAAGTGTCAATAAAAATATTATTATAACTAATAATAATATTTGACAATATTATCTTTTCCTATAATATTGTCCCTAAATCTACCTTAAAGTTGGAAATGCCCTCTCATTGGTTGATATGGGCCATCATATCAACCAATGAGCTGACCAATGACCGATGGACGCGCGCAATGAGTGGAGGGCAAGTTGTTAACATACATAGTTGTAGTTTAATATAGTTGACATAGGTTATAACAGATGAGTTTTATTAGATAGTTAACTCTATTATATACAGTATTCTTTTACTTCTGTAACGGGCTAAGGACCCGTTATCGTCTTACACTAAAAGAGCGTTGAGGAAGCGCTCCTAATTAACTCGTAATAATAACTCTGTTTTATTTTTGTTTTGTTTTAATTCTCAGTTAGTGCGAATATGTTCCCTAGCTCATGGGAACCACTCAATATGGAAGTCAATTTATTGTTGGCTAATTATTGGGTCTGGCACCCCAATAATAAACCAATAGTAAAATGACGCGCAGTATCCGCTAATCGGATACTGCCCTATGCCTACTTATGTAATTATGTACTATTCCTATAACTACTCATGTAATAGCTTTCCCCATTATATCACCCCCCTCTTTAAGTTGTGCTTACTACAACGTAAGCACATAGCATATAAAGGATTCTTTTCACCCAAAATGCAGCGACACAACCTCGAACCTGCTCAGTGACACACAACTGAGCAGCATGACCCTGGCAGCGCGCACAGAATATATCTGACGACATCAACCGTACGATCTGCAGGGAGCAGACACCGCAAGTCACGGACGCACACTTGATCCCGTGGACGCTATATTGTGGTGGAGTGGGTTCTCAAAATTGTATGATGAGACCCCAAACCACTCACTGTGCCGGACTGCCGACTGTCGGAGGGGGTACCCCGATGCCGCGTATGAACCTTCTCTCACCTTGTGTACCCGTCGGCTGGCGGGTTGCACTCTTTGGAGGACTTGGTGACGATGTAAACGTCTGCCTTGAGGGAGGTAGACCTGGGGGGGGGCCTCGAGTGGATATGCTTCACTCGGTGGGCCGGTAGGTGGCCACTCGATCGACCTTGTCGAGAGTGGATTTAGAGCCAAATTCTTCAGGGGCGCTTGTCGTCCCTGGCCTTTTCCTTCTGTTTCAGGGGTATTAACCACCTGACCTTTACGTTGCTCCCGGACCTTGAGGCGAGGGAGACCGCTTCCGATAGCGGGTCTTGGGGGGTGTTGCTACT